TATATATATATATATATACATACACTTTGAGGGTAAATGTCTTTTATATTATAAATATTCATTACAAAGAATGCCTTGAATATTCATTATATAAAGAATATGCCTCGTTAAAACCTTATTAGGAAAAATCATGTAGAAAAATCTTAATAAATGAAAAATAGTACCTTTTTTTTTAAATACACTACATAAGTTGTATCGTTGAAAACTTTGCAATGAAAATCCAATGAGGCAAAACTTTAGTCAAGGAAAAATAGTACAATGCTTATTTACTCACCCTCACGATAATATCTCTTGAATTATATGATTCATGCATAATAAATCTTTCAAGGTAACATTAATAACCACGCTATATGAGTTGACTATAATCAAATTTATTATATGCATATCAAATTCTATGCACTATTTTTTTTTTTTTTTTGAAGAAAACAACCATATATTCCAAACAGCATGAAGCTGGATACAAGGAGAGAAATCTCCTACACCATGCTCTCCTCAGAGAGATTTAGTGCACCCAATGCAAAGAAAATACAACCACCAACAAGAAAACAGAGACAACAAAAACAGGAAAAAAAATAGGAATGGAATCCGGCCAATGAAGATGGAAGCTGTCTTGGAAGGAAGGAGCCATAACCGAAGCAGAGCCAGCAACACCAAATCCCTCCAGCCGATCACCAAATCCTCACAACAGCAGGGGCTTGAAAATAGTAGCTGAGAACCCACCTGAGCAAGGACAGGAGCTCGCCGGAAAAGGAGGACCTGCTCACCCGAACCCAGAGAACGCCAAAGCAATAGAAGAACTTCTGAAACCCAGGTCCAAACCCACGCCATCAGCAGAAAAGAACCGGCATCACCCAGCCATACACCGCAACCACTTACCACAGCAAACCAAACACCACCAAACCAAAATACACAAACCTCAAAACCTCAACCGGTAAGAACCGGAGAGGGAAAACCTCCACCAACCGAAGCCAGGGAGGAGACCACCTCCACCGCCCGAAGACTGGGAGAACCAACTAGGACTCCGAAGAGCCTAGAAATAAACCTCACCTATGCTACCAGAGGGAGGACAAAACCAACAAAAAGCAGGGGGCGAAAGGAAAACGGTCGGACGAGTGGCACAAGGTCACTCGCCGGAAGGAGGCGCAAACGATCGAATTTACATTCACCACATGATACTTTATCTATTTACAAAAGTTTTCGCGAAATTTATTATGTAAAGAGTCATACATTTTATATGAAGACTTTATTTTTTTTAATTTCATTTTGCATAAGTATACACCTTTAGGTATTCGGACTATAGATCCAGAAACTTCAAATTTTTCTAATGAATTCAATTTTGCAAGGACCTGTTCATTTATTTGGCCAATTATTTATTCGATCGATCTACTTCAACGAATATATTTCGATTCCTCGTTATATGATGCAATACATCATATGCAAAAATATTATCAACAACTTTTTATTTTTCGATTCTATTCTTTTCTAATAACGACATGCATCATTATGGCATGAATTGAAAAACTATATAGATGCGTGTACTGACATGCCTTTCCCAATGTATTTCAAAAGGCTGGGCAGAAAAGTTGGGTAGAAATATATATTATCAAACAATCAGGCAACCTAGTTATGATGCATACGTTTATAAGAAAAAAAAAATTAGATGTTACGAAATTAATTTTGGTACACGTGGCAGATGATTATGCTTATAAAAATTATTGCATTCTAACTAATCCATTTTGATTTTGAGATATCGTGCTGATAACATGTTATAAAATAGAGAGAAAATAGAAAATAATAAAGAAGTCAATTGACATGTGTGTTTTATTAAAAATCAAAACCCCATATTTATAGGGAAGAATTAGTGATACAATTGTAATAAAAACTAGGGCTGTATAAATGTGCTTGAAATGGCTTGGAAGCTGCAATATAGAAACACCACATTTGATCCATTCACAATTCACAAACAACTTTATATAGCAAATATTTTTGAAATACTTTTATTACTATCTTCTATTCTATTTGTGCTCCTATTCTCGAGTTGTTCATCTCCATCTTCCATCTTGGATTTCAAATTCACCTTTCCTCATGTCACCTTCTCATATATTGAACCTTATGATACCACTGTACAAACACAAATCCTTGTATCAACCACACCTCTTTATATCGGTTTCTCACTCGTTGAGAAAGCATATATAAGCACGATTTTATAAAAGGGTTTAAAAATATGATAATAGAATCGATGTCTATTTAATTGGACAGGAATCAACTTGATTGAGTTAGCGAGGATCGAAAAGAAATTATAATAAATATTATTTTTAAACCACCTATTAAAAGTAATATATATATATATTATTGATGAGAGAGAATATATTTTAAATAACAATATGATGAAAAATATGTTGTTAAAAGTAAGGAGGGAAAAATTATTAATGTAATAAAAATATTATTTTATCGAGAAATGTGTGATTGAGAATACGTTTTGAATGAAAGAATGTATTTTTGAGAGAGTATGTACCTAACAGCAAAGAATAATGCTACTTGCAGTCGCTCACTGCAGCAATCGTCCTATGTGGCATAAACATGTCAAGTGTGTATTTGATGCATTAAATGTGATTAAAAATACCATATTAATGTATCAAATAACTATATGCAACGTGTATGCCACATAAAACGACTGCTGCAGTGAGCAACTACAAGTAGCATTACTCAACAGCAAAAGTTAAAACCTCACCCTCATCCTCTCACTTCTCTCTCTCTTTCTCTTGCACTGAATGTCTGAACATTGCGGCTACTGTTTCACCAAACCCTACTTTCTCTTTCCTTTTTCGATCCTTTCTTAAAGTTCAGAGATCTGTTATTTTTGGACAGTAATAATGAATAAATAGTTCAATTAGGGGTTAATTTTTCTGACATACACGAAAGCTAGGGTTTTTGCTTTCAGTGCTGCGGGAGGAATGGCGACACTGAATCCGTTTGATTTACTGGGGGACGATGATACGGAAGACCCGTTGCAGCTGATTCAGAAGATTGAGCCGAAGAAAGCACTGGCTCCCGCTGCTAAGCAGCAGGCGCAGCAGCCGAATAAGCCAGCTTCCGCTAGACTCCCCTCAAAGCCTCTCCCACCAGCTCAGGCTGGTGAGCTCTCTGTCTCCGTCTCTGTCTGGGTGCGGCGTGTGTGAGTATCTGTACACGTGAATGCATGTATTGCCGCTAATATTTGTTTCGGAAATTTCTCTTCTTTTCTATCGAGTATTTGAATATTTTGATTCTCGAATTTTCAAAATGCGAACAATAAAAAATACAAAAAAAATTAGAAGAAATCGGTTAATGTAAGAAAATTTGCTTCTCTATTTTGTGCTGTATGGGTGGTGAATGTGCAAATTGACATCCTTTTTAACTTTTGCCTATGGGACAAGCATGATAGAGCTTTGGTTACAGATTTTTTTGTTTTTTAATTTTTTGCTCTGTACAGTAAACTGCTGAAATAACAGTTCTTCGTAGTTCCTTAATTTCACGAATGATTCCACGGCAATATTGGGGCAGTTATAGGATCTTTTTCTTAAAATTCTTTTAATGAAACAGGCTAGTCTTTTACAAGGACGTGACACTAATTAGCAACATGCAAAGAACAGTAAAAATCTCTAATTTGAAAGTATAATCTTGAACATTTTAAACGTCTCTTTCTCATGGCAATGATTTCTAGCCATTCTATTTTTGTTCAGTATATTAAATTTCAGATCTATTTTTACTGAAAACAAAGAAGAAAAAATTGAATGAATAGTGCTATGTAGCCCCCACGGATTGCAACCCAGTCTAGGTGGCGCTAAATAATAGGTTAAATGAATGGTGAAATTAAATCATTTAATGCCTCGTCAGCACTACTTAAAATGGGGTTGCAACCCCTTTGGGGGCTAAATAACATTACTCATATTGAATACAATTCTGCAATTATTATCGGTTTTGGTCTTTGCTTAAAAGTGAATTTTTGTTTATTTTGGCTTAATTTCTGCTATAATACGTCTGTCATGTTATCAATTTCCAGTTTATAGTTAACTGAGTTTTTGATAGTTTAGGCTTAAATGTGAATTATATTTTTATTTATTTTTTTCAGCTTAAGATTCTGTTATTATGTAGTTATTAATCCTCGAAATAGATAGCACCTCTCCTCTTTTTATACCCAGTTCAAGTGACTACCATTCAACACATCTCTTTGTGCATGTCAATTTTCTTTATTAACAAGATTCTGAAGTCTATATTGTTTCCCCTCTTTTATGAAATACCTAATTGATGATGAGGGGGTTTCTAATTCTCATTGAGTTGATGTCCATGTAACAAATTATAACTGTTCGTAAAGTTGTTAGCGAGGATTATTCCTATTAAAGAAGCGATCCTGCACTGCTTTTGTGCTGTTCTTCATGCACAGGTGCCTTTTTAAATATATGCTTCTATATAAATGATTGGTTTTCCAACCTCATTTATCTGGAAAACACTTAGCCCCTGTTGGAGCCCCATTTTGATAAGAAAATATATTTTGGAATAGTGATTTTTTGAAGAATGTGTGGTTAAAAAACAAGGAAAAGTTTTGGGTTTACATGTAAAATTATTTTATGGTAGAATGTGTGGCTGAAAATGAGTTTTGAAAAAATGAGTTTTTGAAAAATGGGGACCAACCATAGGCTTACTTTTTTTTTGGTATATATGTTATATTGGTCATCCAATTATACAACCGTTATTTCCTCTTCTTGTATAATATATTCGATTGTGAGATATAGAATCATTGATAAAGGTTTGACGATTAAAATGTATTTACATCAAACATATTTATTGTGTTTGTGTTCATGTGGAAGTATTGCACTGTGAAAGAGCATTTGGTTGAATTTTGATTAGAAACAAAGGTTGATACTAGTGCATAAATGCATATTCTCTATGTTATGGAGGCCTGTTCCATGTCTAGGTCATCCTGCTATTCTCTCAAATTCTTTATCAATGGGTGTGCTAACTTAATTTCACTAGTTTTTGAGTGTGTGAGAACTTTTATGCCTGTATGGTAGCATTTATTGCTGTGCAATTGTTCATTTGAGTAGTCAGGGAGGGAAAATCTGAATTTGCAAGAGGAGGCCGTGGTGGTGGACGTGGATATGGGCATGGCCGTGCTGGTGGTAGTGGGTATAACAGAGAATTAAGCAGCAGTGAGAATTTATACAAAAACAGGGATTTTTCTGGTGGAATAGTTGCAAACGAAGGGCCTGATACGGGAAAATCTTCTGAGAGGAGTGGTGGCTTTGGCAGTCCTCGTGATGCTTTTCGTGGTGGTCGCCGAGGTGGTTTCAGAAACAGCTATGTTGGGGAAGGGGAACAGGAAAGGGAACGACCTCGAAGGGTGTTTGATCGCCATAGTGGATCTGGCCGTGGGTATATATCCCATCTGTTTGCTAAATCTTTGTGTTATTGATTTTTGTGATTCAACATTCAACGTCTATTTTAAATTGCAAACTCAATTTTTATGCAGAAATGATATAAAACGTGAAGGATCTGGCCAAGGTAACTGGGGAACTCAGACTGATGAACTCACTCGGTCAGTATTTCCTTGTTGCCTTCAGCCATAATACTATTAATATGATGACTTGTTCTCTGTTTCACGTGTTTTTCTTTGATCTGTCTATGCTTGTTAATCCAGTGTTTCCTCCGTTAACTTTTCTTATTTAGAATCACTGAAGAAGTTAATGAAGGTGAGAACAATCTGAATGTTGAGAAGCCTGCTGTAGAGGAGGATGCAGTGAATGGAAACACAGAAACTCCTGCAAAAGAAGTCGAAGAGAAGGAACCTGAGAATAAGGTGAAGTAATTTACACATTAATCTTGATTCAATTATTTAAATTGTAGTTTCTACTACTTTCACGGGCCACTATTTAATCCTTCATCATTTAGAGATCTTTGACGTTGATAAAGGGTCCTAGATATGTTACAGCCAAACACACTATTAGCCTTCTTAGTTACCTCTAGTACAAACTTTTTGCCATTTAAATGAGGAACTCAGTGGCAAGCAGATTAAGAATGTCTCAAAACATAGCATATGCATTTGATCAGCGTCCAGGTGATTGAGTCCATCACATGCATCTCCAGGCTAACTGTTTTGAAAATTCAGGAGATGACACTTGAAGAGTATGAGAAGGTTCTGGAAGAGAAAAGGAAGGCTCTGCATATTCTTAAAACTGAGGAAAGGAAGGTTGACATGAAAGTATTTGAATCCATGCAACAACTTGCGAACAAGAAAAGCAGTGATGATATATTCATCAAATTGGTGAATCCGCTGACCGTCCCTGCACAATTTACTTTTGCTTAATCATTTCATAATTTATCTTCCACGTGCTTCAAGCACTGATGCGTTTATCCTCATTTTTATTGCATCCTGTAGGGATCTGAGAAGGATAAGAGGAAAGAGTTAGCTGACAAAGAAGAGAGAGCTAAAAAGGTAAGTATTGTCCATGTATACTTTCTCTACATGGAGGTGTGAGTCAATGTGTAGTCAGGAATATACTGCATATATAAATTGTTTTGCTTAAATCGGTAGGGTTACAAAAATTCTAAGTAGTCAATTTGATTTTGATCGTTGTCTATTCAGGAGGTCATGTTTGGCCAAGCTTAAAAGTTTACCTTAAGTAAATTTACTTCTAAATGATATCTAAGTTTACCTTAAGTGAATTTACTTGTAAATATAATTTAAGTTTTAACATTAATATAAACAATTTTTTTATTGGTGACAGTTTAAAATAAGAAAGTTACTTGTATTAATAGTATAGCATAAACAGAAGATTTGCCATTGAGATGGGTAATTTTATTTTACATTTTAAGGAAAAAGTTAAGTTCTTTGAACAAGTTTTACCTGAAAGTAGCTTTATCGTATTTTAGGCTTTTAGCCCAACCTGTGCATGAGATATTGCTTTCTATTGAGGGGAGTAGTGGGTGGGAACGGAAAGTTTTGACTGAACTTTTGTCTATTTGGATGGTCAGTCTGTCAGCATCAACGAATTCTTGAAGCCTGCTGAGGGTGAGAGTTACTACAGTTCTGGTGGTCGGGGTCGGGGGCGTGGTTCCCGTGGAGGCCACAGTGGAACAAGTCATATACAAGCACCTTCAATCGAAGATCCAGGCGACTTTCCTACATTGGGTGCCAAATGAGGTGCCTGCTTGCCATGCTCTTACTATTTATCTCAGTTTTCTCCCAGAGTGGCAGGATTAACTAGAATAATGGTGTATTTTATATTAAATGGTTGCTAAAGTTTATCGTTAAAAACATCTATTTTCATGCGATACCCCGTAATTTTTTCTATAATATCATGCATCTTAACTTGTTTGATATTCGGGGCATGTGAGATTAGTGTGACTGGATATTTATTACTCAGTTTTGGTTTGTATGTTGAAGTTTTTGTTTCTTTAGCATCACAATTGTTCCAGTCGTTTCTTTTTTCGTCCCTTCAATAGATGAAAATGATTTTTCTATTGCTCGAAAATATGGAATTTTTGCACAACGGTGTCACCAAAACAAAATCTGGTGGTTCCTTCACAGAAACTGGGACGAAAAGGAATTGTTGGAGGAAATTGGTTTTCTTTGTTTTTCCTTTCTTAACAAAGCGAATTAAATCTGTATCAGATATAATGTAAATAAATTAGTCAATATTTGAGCTCGTCTTAGAAATGAACATTTTTTGCATGTCTTTGAAATAAGAAAACTGACCTACAGAACTTTCGGAGGTTACTGATAACGGAGCAAGTTGTTAGAATTGTATAAAAAATACTCTTCTGAAACCCTAAATAATCCCGCCAAACATTCCTCCGTCTCCAATTTTTCTCTATTGATTAACCAACACCCACCACTAAAATCAAAGCCTGTTATGGTAGAATAAGCCACAACTACCAAATTTGAAATCCTCCACCAACGTTCCCGTCGACAATACATAAAGCAAGCTTTGATTCAGCATGGTGGGACCGAGATCATAGGAGCACAGAGGTGGAATTTGACGGTACTTAGAATGGCGTTGGCCATAGGTATGGTGAAATAAAGCTCTTATACGACGGTGACTTTCGACACCACGTAAACTTCTTAGATGGGATTTCGACCAAGAATAGATGACCGCTCTTCTGGGTGAGTGGCTTGAACTAGAAGTGCTTGGCTTTAATTTTCCTTTTGCTTGTGTTGGTGGTGCAGATTTGGTGTGTTTTTGTAGTTGTTTTGTGGTGGTGGCGGCGGCAAAGGTGACTGCAGTTTTGTGGTGGTGGTTCAATATTTACAAATTAAAGAAAGGTAACAACAATTAACCAATAACATATAGTGGAAGTCAAACACACAACATGATTTGAATGTAAATTAACATACATGGACGGACCCTTATGGGGGTATGTGCGGTCAAATGACCCCACAATTTATTATTATTTTATTTTTTTTAAAAATCTGTAAATTATCCAAACCTTGTCCATCGCCAAGCCCCCTCCTTTTTAAGAGGAAATTAAAGCATACCAGATTTTTGAACTTCCAATTTCAAAATTCAAATTTACAAGTTTTTATTTCAAAAATCAGATGATAATTAAAATTTTAAATATTATTATTATTATTATTTAAAAATTAAACTAATCCATCTCAAACCTAAAACCAATTTCAACTCTTTTCTCCATCTCTCACTTTTCTCCCTTCTCACTTTCTCTACCAACCTACCACTATCACCGCGCCGTCGCGTTGCCACCATCGTCGCCGTCTGATAGCTCAATTCTCCTCCATGTCCTCTCCTCTCCTCTGTGTGTGTGTGTGTGTGTGTGTGTGTGTGTGTATATATATATATTCTATTTTGTATCTGCCAGCTGAACCGTCCGATATGTGATAGCTCCTCTCATTCCTCTTCTTCGATGGCGTAACCTCACACCACTAATGCGATGCAGCCCATACCGCCGCTGCTCTCTCTCTCTTCCATCACCCAGTCGCTGCTCTTCCTCCCCTACCAAACACGTTGAGCATCTTGTGACTGTCGTTGCGCGTCCCTTGAAGTGGCACCGCAGCCGTAAGTGGTGGCCATCGCGTCGTCGATGAGTGGTGGTGGTGTTGGCGATGCAATGACGTGGTGTTGAAGTTGTTGGTGATGGTGGGTTTGGTGTTTGTGTTGGTGGTGGCTATTCTTGTGGCGACGGCAACGGTCATATATGGTGGTGGTTGTGACCGATTAATTGGTGGATCCGATTTGTTGGTTTTTTTGGGCGGCTGTGGTGGTGATTTTCTTGGATCTTGTTGGTGGCTGTGGTGGCGGTGGTTTGTTGGTGGTGATGGCGATTTTGGTGTTGTTTGGGCGGCGATTTTGTTGCTTGCGATTTGGTGTTTAGGCAACAATATTGGATAATGTTGGTGGCAGTGGTTTTGTTGGTGGTTGGGCGGTGATTTTATTGATTTTTGGGAGGCAATTTGGTGTTTGGGCGACAATGTTGTATCTCGTTGGTACAGTGGTGACGGTGGTTTTGTTGGTGGTTGTGGTGACAATGCAGTGGTGTTGGTGGATTTGAAGTTGAAAATTTATTGGAGGTGGTTGGCGATGATGATGGTAGGGTTGGAGATTTTTTTGAGTTGTAGGATGGGGGTGGTGGTGGTTCCAGCGACAGGGTTTCTATTGCCATGCTGTTGGTGGCAGTGGTGGGGTAGTAGTCATAAGTGTTGGTGGTGGTCATAGATTATTTGGTTGTTTGTGACCACTAAATTGATTAATTTGTGACCGATAAATTGTGACCAATGAAAAAGATAAATTGTGACTAATATGACTTAAAAAATTCTTAATTTGTGATAGATAATTTGTGACTTGTGACCTATAAATAAATCGCGATGTTTCAATTTTTGATTTGTGAACGATGAACAAATTATGACCTATAATTTTTTTGAATTGTGACCGTAATAAAATTTGTGATTTATGACCAATGAATAATATGTGACTTATTAATTTGATAGATTTGTGACCGATGAATAAATTGTGATGTATAAATTTTTGATTTGTAACCAATAAACAAATTGTGACCTGTAAAATTTTTGAATTGTGACTGTAAAATAATTTGTGACATATGAAAATTGTGATTTGTGATCAATTATATGGAATTTGTGTTATATGGAATTGGTAAAACTAAACCTCTTAGTTATGAAATCTTCCTTTTTTTAATCTTTAAATTATTCAAAGTGGAAATTACACAAAATTAGAATTTTAAAATTCCAATTTCAAATTTCAGATATAAACTTTATTTATACAAAAATAAGATATTAATTAAAAAAAATTAATATTTAATAATTAAATTATAAAATTAAATTAATATACAGCCACCATACCCAATATCCCATCCAAAACCTTAAATCATTTTCATATTCTCCTATTCCTTATCTCATTTCTCTAACATTTCATTTCTCTATTCCATATCTTTATCCCAACTGTCGAAAATTTTCGCCAGAGACCACCGCAGATTTTGCCGCTACGATGACACGTTACAGATGCCCACTACGTGAACGGAGTGTGAACGACACATCGTAGCTATCCACGGTGTGAACGGTGTTGCACTCAGTGGCCGCTGTGAATTGGGTGTGAACGGCGCTGCATTCAGCGACATCGCTGCTACAGTGCAACGTGAGCGGCGTTGCAGCAGCTGTGTGTTTTCAGTTGGTGGTGGATGGGTGTTGTGGTGGTCGGAGGTGATGGTGAGATGTTGTTGGCAATAGGTCTGTCGAGGTCGTGGTGGATCTGGCGCGACAATGTGGTGGTGTTTTTATGCGTTGTGTTGATCTGTTTGAGATGGTGTTACTGTCGAGAGGTGGTGGTGATGGTTCTAGCGGCGACGGTGGTGGTAGTGGTGTTGATGGGAGTAGTGAGGTGGTGGTCAGAAGTATAGGTTGTGGTCACAGATTATTTGGTTGTTTGTCACCATTAAATTGGTTAATATGTGACCTATAAATAATATGTGAATAATAAAAAAATAAATTGTGACCACGAAATAATTTGTGACCTAAATTTTTTTTGATTTGTGATCGATAATTTGACAATTTGTGACTGTCTACTAAGTTGTGATTTATAATATTTGTGATTTACGATCGATGAATAAGTTGTGACGTATACATTTTTTTATTTGTGACCGATGAACAAATTGTGACTTATAAAATTTCTGAATTGTGACCGTAAAATAATTTGTCTTATAAAATTTCTGATTTTTGATCGTAAAATAATTTGTGACTTATAAAATTTCTGATTTGTGGCCGATGAATAAATTGTGACATATAAAATTTTTGAATTGTGACCGTAAAATAATTTGTGACGTTTCAATTTTTATTTGTGACCAATGAACAAATTGTGACTTATAAATTTTTTGAATTGTGACCGTAAAATAATTTATGATATGTAAATTTTGTAATTTGTGTCAAATTAATAATATGTGACCAATTATATAGAATTTGTGACCAAATTATATGGAATTGTGAGCTTAATATATTTAATTAATAAAATATATATTTAATTAATTAATTAATAAAGAAAATTTTAAAAAATCTGAGATTTGAAATTTTAAACCTTAAAAAATTTGAAATTTTAAACCTTATCTCTTAAATTTGAAATGAGTGAAACTTAACCTCTTAGTTATGAAATTTTCCCTTATTCAAACCCTGTCCATTGCCAAGCCCAATTGCACAAGCCCATTTACTGCTCTTTTACTGGTGCAAGTGATAAGGTCCATTTTCTCTCCACTCCTTCACAGTAAAAAGACGTGACTTTCATTTGCATTTAGGTTTTGCCCTAAACCCCATGGAGAGAGAAGAATCGACACTGTGGTCTATGGCGAGTTTGAGACCGCCATTCATATTTTTGGATTTTCTCTGCTTGTGCTAATTTTGTGATTTTTCTTCCGTCTAGACTGTCTAGTATAGATATCAAATCATAGCCTACTTGTTTGATTTTACACGTTTTTATTCTAAAATTCATTCAAATTTGAGATTTGAGAAATATTGTCGACCACAATCCCCATTGCTTGTTATCTCGTCTGAAACTGAAAGTTTAAGTGTTTGACACAAATCGATGATTCAACCTGATGTTCATAGTTATTCAAACTTACGACCACAGGTTCTCAAAAAGTCTAGATTTTCTATGGTTTTCCTTTGCTGCGTTGTTCAATTTTTAGCT